TGTACCATCCTAGACTGCTTTTCTCATCAATGCCGAGAGTGTGTTGGCTACAATAATAAACAAATAGGGAGATATGGGGTCTCCTTGTCGTATCCCTGGTGTTGGCTGAAAGTAGGGCAATGGTTCCCCATTAAATTTTACATTGAAGGAGACAAAAGTGACACATTTCATTACTTTCTCTACCCACCAATTGCTGAATCCCATTTTCAACATGTAAGCCTCAAGAAAATCCCACTCTACCCTGTTATAGGCTTTTTTCATATCAAGCTTTAACACTGCCTGAAATTTTCTCTTCCTTTTTCTGATTCTCAATTGATGAAGGACTTCCTGAACAATAAGAATATTGTCTTGGATATATCTACCACCCACAAATGCCCTTTGTTCTCCTTCTATTAAAATCGGGAGCCAAGGTTTCAATCTAATAGCCAAGATTTTCGAGATAATTTTTTATGCAAATTTGCATAGGCTAATTGGTCTGAACTGATCCAATCCTTCCGGATTAGGAACTTTCGGGATCAGGGCGATATGGGTTTTGTTCAGTTCTGGATTTAAATTTCCAAAATATAAAAATTTATTTACTTCATCAAAACCCCCATTCTTTATTTCATCCCAATGGCTTTGATAAAATTGGCCATTCAAACCATCTGGCCTCGATGCCTTCAGGGAGCCAGAAGGGCTTTTGCATGGTATGTGGCGCCAAAGGCAAATCCGTAATTGGGACGGGCCACTTGAAGAGGCACCAATTCGACATGATAAATAAAAACATTTGCGGTCAAGGGGAGCTCTTCAAGCACAACGTTGCACACAGAAAGCCCGTTCAAGTACGATGAGGTGAGGAATCAGCAAGAACTTGGATTTTGTTGTTTTGCCGTCGAACAATCCTTTGGCTTTGTTGAAGACCCCGGCTTTGCCCATTAAGTGCAAAATGCTCTGCAACCTTAGTTGAGACCCGTTTCACGAACGATGAACACACTAGACACTGCAAGTCGCTGTACAAAGAGAAAAGGGATGCAATTGGTGCATCTGTTGTACACAAATAACTTTTGAGTCTCTTTAACTTATGATTTATGGACCAGTCCCAAGAATCACGTGTATTGTGTCATCATCACCCACTGGGTGGATGAAGATTGGGAATTATGGCACTGAACTCTAACTTCTAAAATTTTAATATCTCCGTACAATTCCGTTAATGTGGTCTCCGAAATAATGAGGGCTGTCAATGAGTTTGGCATTTCCAATAAAATCTTCACCATCACCTTAGATGATGCCAGCATAAACACCTCTCTAATCTAAATTCTGGTCCAACAACTAAATCTTGTTCGCAGTGACATTTGTTTCCATGCATGGTTTGTGTAATTTGTGCTTGCAACACAGTCCCCACTTAGTTTTGCGATTCTGTGGCCACCATCAGCGGTAGGTTCAACACATTAGATTAACCTCAATTAGGCATCGAGAGTTGTAGGTCCTTTGCATGTCAGAAAGATGGCAAGTTCAGAGGTTCCCTCTAGATGAAAAATGGGGTGGAATTTCACGTATGAGATGTTGACAGGGCATGCCAGGAGATGGACATGCTGACGCTGTACTCCACCAATAATAGCAAAGGGGGCGGTCTCCCGTCGAAGTCGTAGGCACAAAAAGATTGGAGGGTTGCTAAACTCTTTGGGGGACTTCTTGCATATTTTCAGCAATGCAATGATGCTTTGTTGTCCAATTATTATCTATCAACCAACCAAGCAATGCAATGATGCTTTATGGTTGATGTCGATTGAATTAGCGAATAAGGAGGGTGATTCCTTCTTCAATGAAGCGATACTAGCCATGAAGACGTAATTACTAAAAAATCACCAGGACATCAACATGTGATTTTGGTGTCTTTTGTCTTGGATTCGAGGTTCAAGTTGGAGGGGCTTAGTACTTTATCTGTTTCATATTGCAAAACCTTGAGATTAGGCAGGGAGGTCCGAGTGGAGCAGATATTGGTGATGGTGAGATTAGCTCTTGAATATGCATGATGGAGACGCCAATTGATTTGATACGATGAACTTCACCCATGGACGAAGATGACGCGCTAATCGAGGAGTGCCAAGAAATCGGTTTGGTTTTTACTTCATAAATAGAAGAATACCCCACCGATTTCCGCTAGCTCTTCATCGTAATCTACCGATGAGGCCAAGATGTATTTGATAACAAGCTACTCCAAATGTATTCAAAGAGTTCAAAGACGACGTTGACGTTCTGAAGTGATGGAAGGAGCAAAGTTTTGCATTTTTCCAGTCTTTTCCACCATTTAACGTGACTTACTAATCCCACCGGCGTCAATGCTACCATGGGAGTGTACTTTCATTCCTAGCCAACCGATTATAGAAGACATAGCTTTATATTCACTTTGAAGAATGTACAAATGGTTGTCTTTGAGCATGATTGATTTTTGCAAAAGTTGACTCGAGCTGAATGCGTCGGATGTGAAAAAGAGGATGTCAATGACAATTTGATTATCCAAATCATGGTGAGTGACATCGCGCCAGACATCGAATTCATTATACATTCTCTTTGGTATATTTTATTTATAATCGTTATTAGGACACTTATATGTGTAACTTTGTTTACCAAAATTGAAGATGTACTTGTACTCCGTTCATGTTTAATTGAATGAGTGTTTTTCATTAATTCTCTTCAATTAATTTCTGAATTATTTATAGCATTTAAATATAATACAATATTAACCATTGACGAAAGGCTACATTTTATAGTGGTTGACCGACAACTTCAACAAATAAAAAAAAGGAGCACGCCCAAGTTTAGACATTCACAAGTTACAATCCACATATCTATCATAAATCAACTATTCGGATGCTCAGAAACTCTTACATTTTTCACATTACCAATCCAATCAGACAACAACCTATTTGAACATAAATGTATCCGAGTTGAGTAATCGATCGAGAGAAAGAGGCACTGGCATATGAAAAATTTTCAAGATTAAAGAAATCCCGGACGTGGGCCATCGTGCGGTGTGCAAATAATGTCATTAAACTTTAAACATTTGTGTGTCAGCCAAACAACGGGCCAGGACATTTTTTATGGACCAACGAAATGTACCTATGTCCAATCCAATTTTAAATATTATTAGTTAACCAATATGTCGTGTTTTACTATGTATTATGCAATATCTTAGTTATCCTAAAAAAATGTTATAATTTTTCCATTTCTTGCATTTTTATTGAATATCATAATATATAAATTCAACTTTTTAACTATTTTCAAAATTTTTCTTCATAATTTTTTTCTCGTTTTAATTAAAGAAACTTGCCAACCGTGACTGGACCCGCGGCCCGGCATGGGACACCGCTAGATAGTAGACATAATGGAGTGGTCCAAGACGAAATTTTCTGATTTTTCAAGAAGCCAATGCACAAGATTTTAGCAAGAGGACTCAACAAACTAGAGATGAATTTTAAACAAACAAAATTTGAAGATTTATGTAATCCATATATCAATTAATCAGAACAATGCAAAAGTAATCGTGCGAATGCGTACTGATAAACCATTTGTGGCCGCGAAGAATTGCTTTCTCTAAATTTCTTCTTTAGGAAGAGGACCCAACAAAATAAATATGGAACTAGAACAAACCAAAATTTGAAAAATTATGTAATACATATTTGATTGGATGATGCAAAAGCAACCGTCCAAGCATGGATCGAGGGCTAGTCCTTATTGATGGGACATGAACCATCATAGTAACTAAAAAGTGCATTCTCTATAGGGAAAATGATACAAGTTATTTTTTAATTTTGGTTCAAGACGTAATGTCATTTATGGACTTTTAATTACATTTATCAAATATTTATCAATAATTTATGGACCATTTTAAATAAATTAAAAATTCAGAGATCATATTATAAATTGTGTCAAAATTTGAAAATCACTTGTATCACTTTCTTTTTTTTAAATTACTATTTCGACATACTAGCTTTTTGCTGGTAATTGCGGCTCTCTCCGTTGCAATAACCGTTGATAAACTACTCGGCCTTGCCGGACATCGCCAAGACATGGGCTTTTCCATCGTCAATGCCTATATGGGAGTCCCTTTCTTTCGGATCACGTAATGGGACACCGGATAAAGAAAAGTGACGGCTGAAAGTCACCACCACTAAAAGCCACGTGAGAAATACGTCACTTCCTCCACCACACGGTCCTTTATAGCTAAGCCACCTTCCGGAAAATTAGCCGATCAATCACAAACTTATTTATACGGATGTCATTTTAATTCTAAATTTTTTTAATTTTATCAATTTAATTATAATTTTTTATGCAGAACTCTTATGTAATTCTTCCGATCAATTTTCGCCGGAAATACTAACTTGGCAGTCCGATCATGGCCGGGCTTCCTACATGACACACCAAGTCAGTATTTTCAACAATACTGATCGAAAATACTTGTATCGCTTGAGCTCCGTTTGTTTTACGAAATATACATAATTTGAAAAATATTTTTTCTAAAAACGATCGCTTGTATTACTTAATATTTTTATCCTCAATGAAATTATTTAAATATAAATTATTGTTGATAACGAAAACTTTTTTTCATTGACTAATTATTTTAAATAATACAAACGATCATTTTTAAAAAATATTTTTCAAATTATTTATTTTTCGCAAAATAAACGGAACATTAACATATTATACTTTCCACTGCTCATCTAAAAAAAAAAGCTGTCATGAACAGATGAGGACCTGATATGCAACATATACTCGCTCATAAAGTCTTTATCATCCCTCTTTTCTCGCTATAAACCACTCACATCCATCTTCAATCTGGTACGCAACGGATGAGCGTGAAGGAACCATTACTGATTAAATGAAAAATACATAGCAGCTAGCTACCAAGGAAGGAACTAGAACTGATAGAGTAATGTGCTGCAACTGTCTTGCCCTAGCATCTTACTTTTGCTCTTTCTGTCTCATACCATACTGCCCAGTTTCAGCTTCGCCTAACAAATTCAGGTAGTTGACCCTGCCTATGGCCGTAGCACATAGTCAAGCATTACATACGCTGCTAGAGGAGCCCGAATCATACAGCGACGCTGCATTTCTGGACCATCTGCAACTTAACGATGCCGTCTCCGGAGGCGGCAGACTCCTGCGCCGACGTGGCCGTGCTCTTGGGGAATATGATGTACGCGGGGCACTTGACATATAGGTGGTAGCGCCCCGAGGTGAAGGTCCCGACTTTCCACCTCACCCGTCCGTCGATCTTGACCATCAGGAAGATGGTCCCGGCCGCCTGCTCCTGAGTCAACGTCATCGAGTTGAACGGCGCCACCGGCACCGCCGTCCCGTAGATGAATGGCGACCACACGTCCACCTCTTTGTGCCCCTGATCTCATTGCATCCAAAATTAGATTAAATACACAGAGAAAAACATTTACATTATTGGCATATTCTATTGTCGGGTAAATTTCGGTCCCTGGGGAAAATTTCATACACACACATACACTATACTTAAAGTGACATTTAATGTATATATGTGGCCAAAAATAGTACAGTGAAGTTTGTTGTTTTTTGGACTGATAATTTGAATAAACATTTCCACTAATTAAATTCATCATAATCTCCAATCTCCACAAATACGTCATTAAATTATTTTATGCACCACAATACTGATCATGCTAATTAATTTCACGTCCGCAGATACCCATAAATGAATGTGTTTATTTCGAAAAAAATAAATGATTTATAAAATAATTTTTATTGTTCATAAAAATATTTAGGTAAAAATTATTATCGATAATAAAAATATTTTTTATTGACTAATTATTTCAAGCAATACAATCGATTATTTTTTTAAATATATTTTTTAAATCATATTCTTTTCATGAATAAGGGATCCTAAGATACAATTTTTTAATTTGCAACTAATTAACACCGTTAACTGAAAAATTTTATTTGCAGACATATATTAAATTACTAAATCCCTCACAAGGGCCAAAAACAGAAATAATAAAAAAACAAATAAAAGACTAATAGATCAGGTGAGTGACAGAGCTCAGTTCACCTGGTACGACGGAGGGATGGAGGAGCGGAGGGTGATCTGCTGGTTGCGATAGATGGCGTAGACGTCGAGCTTGTCGTAGTAGACGCCGATCCTGTGGTTGGGGTTGCGGGACGAGATGGTGACGTGGATGTTGGTGGTCAGGAAGTTGGGCACGGAGGCGTTGAAGGCGTAGACGGTGACGTCCTGGAGGACGAACCGGGGCTTGTGTGGCCTCAGGATGGCCCACACCAGCAGGATGATGAACAGCAGGACGAAGTTGAAGACCAGGAGGCCAGCGCACAGCCGCCGGAACGTGCTTCGGCCCTCTCCATAGTGCTTCGGGCAGTCGTCGGATGTCATCGAGGGCGGCGATGCGGTGGAGCGGAGGTGCCGGCGGTGGTGGGTGGAGGTTTGTGCTAGGAAGAGAGGGAGCAGAGGACTCAATAATGGACTGAGAGAAAGATGTGAAGGGGTACTATAAGTGGCAGGTTTCTTGAATCTTCTTCCTTTTCTTTTCAGCTTTTGCTCAAGTTGGGATGCTTTAAGCGAGAGATAAAGCGAGAAAAACGAGTTTTGAGTGCTTTCAATGCACAGCGAATATCATGTACTCAAATGCATGTCAGACATATTAATGTGCAAAGAATCGGAAGATTATAAATATAAAGTGAGAACTAAAGTGGATTTATCACCCGGCTTTTGAGTAAAGTGTGAAAGTTGGGAATAGTGTCCCTTCTAGGGATTCGCGCCCGAGCATCTTGTGGAGGAGAAAATTCAAAACTGTGTCGGTGGGCCGGCAGGCATCTTTGGTTTACAGCAACAAAGCATGGGGTACGTCTGTTTTAGCATGCATGTAGTACCTCTACGATGGATGTAGTATCTCAAGAACAGATCTAATTTCAAAATACAGCTGTTTTAGTTTGTACAACATTTTATTTCTACGTTATTCTTGCCCGTGATGTTGGTATTAGTTTGACTTGTCTTGTCGCATAACATGGTGTGTATACGTACCACCAAGGTTTATCGTGTGTTTAACAAGTTAACGTAGACTTAGAAGAATCATTCCACGTCGAGTTTGACGAATATTTAAAAGGAGAATTTGTAAAAGATGAAGAGTAAATTTAAACATACGAATACAGATGCCTGTATAGGTTCAACTCCCACTACAAATCAAACTTCTCTGATAAATTCGGACGAAGAGCCAATAACTAGATTTACCCAAATGCTAATAGATTAGATATTTTCGACACCATGCTTGAAGGAGCAAGTTATTGGAGATGTTTTGAATACATCAAGATAAGATCCTCATTCAAGGTTATCCTAAGCACATCAATACTCTTGCTTGAAATAGAAACAAAGTCTGTATAGGAGGAAGCTTTATCGAATGAAAGTTGATCCGAGGCAATGCAAGAGGAACTTTACTAATTCAAAGTAAATCAAGTTCAGGAAGTTGTTTCGTGACCCAATGATCATCTAGTATTTGGCACAAAGTGGGTCCATCAAGACAAGCTTAGGGACGAAGGTAATGTGGTAAGAAATAAAGGCCAGACTTGTCCGAAATAGAATCAAAGTCTCTAGAGGAAGCTTTATCTTATGAAAGTTGGATCAAGGCAATGTAAGAGGAACTTTACTAATTCAAAATATATCAAGTTCAGGAACTTGTTTCGAGACCTAATCATCATCTAGTAAGTGGCACAAAGTGGGTAAATCAAGACAAGCTTAGTGACGAAGGTAATGTGGTAAGAAAGAAAAGCCAGATGTTGTACAAAGGTATACTCAAGAAGAAGGTACAAATCATGATATAGCATATGCACTTGTTGCACAACTAGAAGCAATACGTATGTTACTTGCCTATCATGTAATTATGATTTCAATTTATATGAAATGGATATGAAAAGTGCCTTTTCAAATGGAGATGCAATGGAGGAAGGGTAGCGAGAGCAACCACCAAGTTTTGAGGGTCCCAAGAGAAAAATTGTGTTGGCAAACTTTCTAAAGTTTTGAACGGTATAAATCAAACCACTAGAGTTTGGCACGAGAGACTAAGAAGTTTCTTGATTGAAAAAGGTTTGAAAAAAGGTAAAGGTGGACACAACTTTATTTCTAAAGAACAAAGTGAACATATTCTGTATATGTATCTCTATGTATATATATAGTATTATCTTTTATCCCACTAAAGGGAATAGGCGAAAGAAATTCTCGAAATTTTCTCGAAATTTATTTAGAGTGAATTTGAGATGAGGATTGAGGATGAACTAAACTTCTTCCTCAGATTTCAAGGAGAGCACAAAGGACCAATGGGTTATACATCAAGAGAAGTATTCAAACGAATTGGTCGGAAAGTTTGGGATGGAAAATTCCAAAAAAGCGAAAGCAACCATCTCTCATTCTACAAAGTTTGATAAGGATGGGAAAAAAAAAAAAAGAACTTTTCCCGACTTGAAGAGCAAAGGGAGCATGAGTTCCCAATACAAGTGATGGAGCACCTGACCCCCGTGATCTCTAACCAGCTGATTAGACAAGACTTGTAGACTATTCGAGTCAAGTACCATTATCCAAGCCACTGCTCGATCTTAATTTAATATATGAAAAGCTCGAATTCAATTATCAAATTAGATCTGTAATTAATAAGTCATACTCCTGTAATTCAGTAGTACCTTATTTGCATTTCTAGACAAGTCATTATAGGTTTCGCGTCTTTTTCTGTGCATATGACTTGGGTTTTGTGGTGTATTACGAAAATGGTATTTTTTAGGGTACAAAAGTACAAAATAATCATTGTCATCTAAGATTAACACTTGTCAAGGTATAATGCATAACATCGTACGGTATAGCATGGTGGTGCAGTTCCTATCTAGAAATTCTATCTTTCTTGCTTGAAAGAAATGGGATAATGTAAGATGAATACGGGATGCCAAACTTTAAATGGGCGGCTTGGGCGGTGCGAAAAAGAAACTAAAGGAATCGCTTTTCAACAAAAAACTTGTTATTCTTAAGACACCATAGGAGATTGATCACTTTAATCCTAAGTGGAATAACTTTCAGCTTTGCTTTAGAATTCTATTGAAAGATAAGAAAAAAAAAAAGGTTAGCTTTAGCGGGTAGGTCCATTAGATTGGGCAATGCTGTGCTTCATCCCTTTCTATGTGACGATGAGAATTAACTTGTAATTCCCCGATTAAATGCTTGATTGGAAGAAATTTCACCCGATTAGAGATGAAGGAAAATGTAGTCCTGAAAAAATTGCAAGTCCCTTATGAATTGAAGGATAAGTAAAGGAGTTTCTGGCAATGCTTCTACCGGCAGTACTTAGACCAAGCTATAATATTGGATTCTGTGATACCATATTTTCCTATATTATTATATTGGAATATTGTAGAAGAGAGTTGTGCAAATTTTAGTTTGGGGAAGCATATACGTTACTTTTCACCTATGCAGCATATTCACAAATATGCTTGATAAAATACATTCCCCATGGTAAATACAAAAAGGTTTGGAATAAGTGCATAAAAAGTCCAACAACTAACTGCAATAATGCAATTGAGCCCTATATTTTTTGAAAAATATAATTAAATCTTAAAATTTGTTCAATTTCGTTCGAAATGAGTACTTCCGTGAGCTTCGTTTAATTTGTTTGATGGAAAATAGTGATGTGTCTATTTTAAATATCTTTTGGGGCATGTGGGTAAGCACGTCCCTCCATGTCACCGTAGGATCGGCCACTCAATGGACGACATGTGGCACTTGGATCCCACTTTTTCTCTCTTTATTGAAGACATATGCTCTCTCTCTCTCTCTCTCTACAACCCCCACCAAACACCCCCTCGGGGGTTCGCCGCCTCACCTAAGAGCCTCAGCGGTCACAACTGTTGGGACTTGAGCTCAAATCTGCTGGATCCTCTGTGCCGTCACTGTTGAGCAACTTCACCACTGCTAGTTGTTAGCATTACCATCAACATCGGTCTTGTCCTACTGTGCCTAGCTACCTTCTCTATCAAGATCCTACACGTCATGCTGTCGTCTTGTAAAACTTAGCGCTATCGTTCTCAATATGTGGCTAACCTCCAATGAAAGTTGACACCAATGGTCGATTTCGCGATCTCAGAATTGAACGGGACCACCTCAAATCTGAGGCCGCATGCCTCGGCCACCGGTGGCGACCTCCATCAGAGTCGACCACAAAGTCATAGGGAGAGCGCTTGAGATAGAGTAACACTAGCCATGGCTGCTTTAGTGGGATGACGGGAATGACAATGGTTGCGGTGAATCCCGATCAGCGTCCCTTTTTTTATGAGCCTAATTATAAAAAAAAAACACTAATTTTAGGTCAAGGGATAATTCTGGCCCGAACTTTTTTTTGTTCCATAAAAAAGCACCAACTTTAAGTCGAGAGACAATTATGGCCCAAACTTTTTTTTGTCCCATAAAAAAACACCAACTTTAAGTCGAGGGACAATTCTGGCCCGAACTTTTTTTTGTCCTATAAAAAAGTACTAACTTTAGGTTGAGTGACAATTCTGGCCCCGATTTTTTTTTGTCTCATTAAAAATCACCAACTTTCATCATGATTCCAAATCTGGCCCCCTGTTGACTTTCACTATTGTTTGAGAAAGAAGGTAATGGTGGCGAGCTTGGCGAATCTCGTCCATGGCATCTGTCGACAGGCGGTGGTCAGCTTCAGATTACGTTTGGCCAGAGAGATTCAATCTGGAGATATTTTTAACTTGTCAGTGAAGTAAAAAAGACGAACAGTTTTACCGTTATTCTTCAAATTGTGGCTTAGAGAATAAGACAATGAATATTGTTTTAAATTCAGTCAGTAAGCCACGTGGATTTATTGCTAATATGGAATAGTCAAGTTAGATAATCAATGGTTCTAAGTCAATGGAGGTCAGATTTGGGATTTAAGTTAAAGTTAGTGCTTTTTTACGAGACAAAAAAAAATTAAGGTCAAAATTGTCTCTCGACCTAAAGTTAGAGCTCTTTTACGCGACAAAAAAAAGTTTGGGCCAAAATTGTCCTTTGACCTAAAGTTGGTGCTTTTTTACGGGACCAAAAAAAATTTGGATCAGAATTGTCTCTAGACCTAAAATTGATGCCTTTTTTTGGAATTAACTCTTTTTTTATGGCCAAAGTGTTTTGACTACAGCGGTGGCTTCGATGGCATGGGAGGGATGGTGGAGGCAGTTTTTCTTTGTTACAAAAAAGTAATGGGTTGTTCGAAAATGAAGCGGGGAGGGAGGGAGAGATAGACAGGCGGCAGACGCGGGGAGGGAAGAGGTAGGATGAAATATTAGGTGGTTCGGGGGACTCCACTTCAAGGTGGTCTCTGTCCAATCAGGAAGCGACATATCGCTCCATGTTAGCGAGTGGAGCCCACTGGCAATTCCCCACCAAAAATATGATTTTCCTTTTTTCTATTTAAAAATTTTTGCCCTTTAATAGCCTACGCACATTAAATGCACTAGACTATCTATTGCGGCTTTCCTTCTCCCGCTTTTTCTCTTTCCGAAAAAAGGAGGACGCTCCTCTCTCCCTCTCTCATGAATTCAAAAGTTTGTGTTCCCCCGTCTTTGCTCTCTGCTCCGATGCTCGCTACCTCTCTACTTCGTCGCTCGCTCCATCTCTCGCTTGCTCTTTGCTCCTGCGCTCGTTGGTCCTCCGGCGCTCGCCTTCTCTTACCACAAGAGGGCATCTTGGGTAGACTAGTGATGGGTCGGTTTGTTGTCTAGAATGACACTGAGTTTGGTGATTTTAATCTTGTGGATCGGTGTGTTGTCTAGGACGGCATTGAGTTTTGAAGTTCGAGCTCTATTTGGATGTGCTACGTTGCTTCATCTAGCAGCCGGTCTAGTTTGGAAGCATTGGCTCGATGAAACAGTGAGTTGACTCTTTCATTTAGTCTAACTCTCGCCGAAGCGCAGGTGACCCTGCCAGCCATGGCCGATACCCCACCGGTGATGGGGCGACGTCCACAGGCGGGAAGGCTTTGTGTGTGTGCACGCGCGCCCGAACGCTAGTGTTTTTTTTTTGTTTTAGCTTTTTTTTTTCTTTTTTGAGTTTGTCTTTTTTATATAAAAAAAATTGGATTTTTTAATCTAATTTAATTAAGATTTGTGAAAAAATTAGGATTCGGATCAAAACAAAGTCGTTTTAATGATTTAGTTAACCTTAATGCTAGGTAGGACGCCACGTGGGAGAGATAAAATATTAAAGAAAAATAACGTCAATATTTTTCATTAGTCAAATTGGACGGAGTTAGCAAAAAATCGAGTCCTTGGCAAGCCTCGCCAACTGCTGGCGAGGGTGCTTCGCCCAAGTCCTCCTTGGCTAAGCGCGAGGTGACCCTCGCCTAGATCCGGTGAGAGTTGGCTTGGCCTATGGCTGGCGAGTGTCGCTCAGGTGAGGCCAGCCGTTGCTTGTGGCTTTCAAGGGCGGCCTCACCTGGTACACTCCGGGTATCATCGACCATCCGCCTGAGACCGGCCACCGGCAAAAAGGAAAGAAAAAATGAAGAAAAAAAGAAAAAAAAAAGTAAAAGATGAAAATGCCCTTAACCAGCCAGTAAGGTTAGGCCCTTCTATTAAACTAACGTGACCACTTCTGGCCTTTATTTGAAATAATGTCCACTTTAAGCCCTAATTTGAAATAATGTTCACTTTAGGCCTTTATTTAAGAAAATAAGAACACTTCATGCCGTTATTTAGAATTTTCCCATATTATTTTTTCTTTCTTTGAAATTCTTGATTTTTTGTTTTGTTTTTTTTTTTTCCCTTTTTAGCAATTTTCTGATGTGGCTCCCATTTGCCACCACATCAATGCCGCGTGGCCTCTCGAAATATTTAAAGAGACACTTCATCACTTTCCATCAAATAATTTGGACAAAACTAACGGAGGTACACGATTGCACAAAATTGGACAAATTTTACAACCTGATTGCATTTCTTTGAAACTTTTAAAATTTGATCGTACTTTCTTAATAAGTTTTAGGACTTATGATGCATTTATTTCAAAATATTTTATTCAAATATCATCAAGTTGATTAAATTTGGTTTTTTTAACAAATTAATCATTTTATACATGGATCAAACTTTTTATGATTCAAACGTGAGTACGTGCATGTCGTATCAATTGTACCAAAGAGTGATATGTTATTGGCAAGCTATTCCCTCCTCACTGTAACGGGAGAATTATCAAAAAAGTTCTAGATATATTGTAATTATGCCAATTTAATTCTAAATCTTCTCTTTTTTTGTCAATTGACTTATAAACCTTTTGCATTTGTGCTAATTCAGTCAATGCGTCCAATTTTGGCTGGAAATCACTGATATGGATGCTGGCCGTTGTACGTGGCATGACCAACACTGACACAAATAATTTTCAATAATATTTAAATATATATATTTTTATTTTTTTCCTTTTTTTTTCTTTCGCTTTCTTTTTTATTCGTATCTTCTTCCTATGGCCGGTCACTGAAACTTGCAACTGGCTAGAGACGAGGGTAGTGAGGTCGACCTCGTTGGCCACTGGCGAAAGCAAGGCTCGCCCAGCCATGGTGAGACTCGCTCTTGCTAGCTAGAGGAAGAAGGGAAGAAAATAAAAGAAAGTAGACAAGATAAAAAGGAAAAAAATAAAAATAAAAAATTCGAAAAATGTTAAAATATTATTAAAAACAGTCAACATCAGTGTTGACTGTGCCATGTAAATGTGAACGATTTCTAGTCAAAATTGGCTGGATGGACTGAATTGATACAAATGCAAAATGTTTTGAAATCAATTGACAAAAAAAGTTTATGACTAAATTGATACAATTATAATAGCTTTATGATTTTTTTGATAATTTTCCCATAGTTGATTTCCACGTCGGTAGGACCTCCCCGGAAAATTCCACTCCAGCAAAACGAGAAACTATTCACATTGCAATAGTCACCATATAAGTAATAACTTCCTCGATATATAGATTTATGAAGTAATGGACGGTAGTTACGAAAATCAATAACTTAATGGAAGCTTTTTCTAATAAAAAAATTAATTAAAAAATACATAATGATTGAAGATGGAGAGACACCAAAAGGTCATGTCTTCCTTTATAATAATAATAATAATAATAACAACATAAAACATTGATTGGTCAGAAAAAATAAAACCTAACATTTCTATTTTACTCACTATAATATGCGGCAAGCTCTGGGTTCATCACCGGCCAAGGCCCCACGAGGCTCACTACCGACGAAGCTCACCGCCAAATCCACGCAGGAGACCGGCAACCGGACGTGCCTCGTCCACCACGACCCGTACCGAAACGTACCCTTCATTTCCAAATCCAACGCGAAGCCCACCGTCCCAGACCGCCGCTCCCGGCCGATGTCTTCCACCACCGTCCTCTCCGGCTGCCCCGACGCCCCCGCCGTCGCCATCCTCGCGTCGATCACGCCCCTGCCCTTCATCCCCACCGAGGTCGGATCTACTGTCGTCCACGCCAGATAGTCCCGCGGGTCTCTGTAATACACGTAGCACTGTATGTCATCGAACCGGACCCTCAGCTTGCTGTTGGGGTTGTCCACGGCGACGCTTGTCTCCCAGTTCGCCGTCAACGCCGAGCCCGACGCGTTGAAGTCGGAGACCGAGAGCGAAGTGACCGTGAAGACGGGGAGCTTGGGCTGCACGACCACCTTAACGATGATGTTGATCGTGCACAGGAGGACAGCGAACAGGACGAGCCCCGCCAGCACGCCGCGAGCGAAGCCTGTGCCGGCGAATCTCCGGGGACAATCGGGGGAGGAGGGCTGCGGCGGCTCCGGGCAAGGGTGCGGGTATCCGATCACCGGAGGGTAGCCCACAACCGGTTGGCTTTCTACGTGGAGGGGCTGGCAGGGTGCCGATGGCGGCGGCGGGTGGTCCAAGGCCGACGACGGAGACGCCATTGAAAGAGGGATGCTGAGATGTAACGGGTAATGATGAAAATGGTCGCAGATTCAATGGGATTATTAACGAGAGATACAGCTTTAAATCGGCAACGTCGATGTAGTTGCTAAACGCCAAATACTTTTTCTCCACACCGTGGAATGTAATGGAAGGGATTGTCTGGTTGCGGGCGGCGCTTTTGCATGTCAACTTCAGAACGGCCGGTTCAGGAGCATCGTCGACTTCGGTTCTTGGAGCGGAGTGTACGCAGCGCTTTTTCTTTTTTCAAGATACACGAACAAGATTTGTTGAAGCCGGTAACCCAATCATTTTCCTTTGTCAAATTATGGGAAAAACAAAAGTATACTCTCAAACTCTATGTATATAAAATAGAGTTAATACCATGAAAAACCTAAAATTGATATATCTGCAACAAATTTCACCCAAATGAATTTTTTAACCACAAAAAATCCAAAATCGATATACTTGTGATAGATTTACCCCTCGTTAGTTTTTGTTAAATTTTATCGTCAAATTGTTGAGTATCATGACACATGATAGTTGATGAGTGTACCAGTTTGAGATTTTACACCTCCGTTTTTCACATGTTTACCAATTTGTGATTTTTTGTGGTATTAATCCAATTTAACGGAGGGTAAATTTATTACAAGTGTACCAGTTTGGGGTTTTTGGTACTCAAAAAATTAGTCGGGGATAAATTTATCACATGTGTATCAATTTGGGGTTTTTAGTGGTAAAAAAATTAGTTCGGAGAAAATTTATTACAGGTGTACTAGTTTGGGATTCTTCATGGTATTAACCCTATAAAATATTGGTGAGTTAGTTTTTCTTTTTATAATGGGATAATGACACAAATAGTCCCTAAACTTTGACTTAATGTGCAATTTGGTCCATGAACTTTTAATTTGTTCAATGTAGTCCCTAAACTTTAACATAATGTTCAATTTAGTCCCTGAACTTTTAATTTGTTCAATGTGGTCCCTGGACTTTTAATATATGTTCAATTTAGTCCCTGAACTATATGAAAATGTTCAATATAGTTCAGGGACTAAATTAAACACATATTAAAAGTTCAGGGACCACATTGAACAAATCAAAAGTTCAGGGACCAAATTGAACATTAGGTTAAAGTTCAGGGACCAAATTGAACATTAGGTTAAAGTTCAGGGACTACATTGAACAAATTAAAAGTTCAGGGATCAAATTACACATTGGGTCAAAGTTCAGAGACTATTTGTGTTATTTTCCCTTTTATAATTCATATGTTTGGCGCCCCATTACGAAAAATCCTTTAATGTTTCAAAATGAGACACATGTACTCTGACGTCCAATTCAACAATGAGATTGTTCTTGTTAGCAAAATCACTAGAAGAGAAAAAAAAATATAACTGAGGGACTTGCAACTAATGAGGAGCATTTTAAAAGTTATATTGACTCTTTTCAATCGAAAGCAAGTGGAAGAAGCATTTTGATTTTCGAACTAAAGTGCAGGAATCCCTAACGATATTAGAGGTTTAAGTAATCATGTGACATCTGGAAATTTCATAATAATATGTATGTGACGTTGGAAATTTTTCATATTCGATAATGATAGTGAGATAATAAAGCTAAGTATTATTTAGCTTGGTATTTGTGTGGGCGCGTGGAAATCGTTGTTGGACTGTAAATTGTGAGGCGTGGATTTGAGAACGTAATCGTTCCGAGTTCGACGAGTTTAAAATTTCTAAACGCTAGTTTCACTTTGGCTTTTTACAAAATAAATTTTCTTCAAAGTATATTAGCTAATCTAAAATTAGGAAATAAAAATAAGTGAAATGTAAGCATGCGTGCTTCAAATTAAAGTTTTTGCTCTTTATGGTAGTGTTTAAATTTTGTGAATACTAAGTGAATCTTATCCAAGTACTAAATTAAGTCATCCTTCAAATTATCTTGATCCAATTAAAATTGAATTGAAAAAAAAATGCATTTATCACATTATTAACAGAGGCTATACTTCAGAGTATGAGTATTATTCACGTATTAATATATATTTCTAGTTTTGATTTAATTACAAACTAAATGGATAAACTAATATCTTTAAGGATACTTTATTTTTATTTGATATTTTCAATTTTAAAATCAACGAATCCAAAGACATAAGTGTTTGGGAAGGATTGTAGAGATTTATTAGAAGATATTTTATCCTTATCTTTATCGATGTTATTGATCAAATACATTTAAAAATACATTTAAAGATTCTTTTCTTCATCCGTGTTTAGATTTAAATTTAAATTTTATAAGTGATATATGTGTAAAGATGACAAATCACTAAACTAACGATAATTGGTCGAATTTAGGTAGTAAATAGTAGTAAAAAGAACAAAAAAAAATTAATAATGAATAATAAACAAGTAAAGATAAGTAACAAATAACAAATAAAAGAGGACCAATTTGGTCTTGGTCCAACTTGCGCAGCCCACAAGAGCAGCCCGTTGATATTGATCCGTGATCCATACCTCTAAGGCCAATCAAGCACAAGAAGGCCCAACAAATGAAATGAAGGAGCACCTCATTTTCTCTCCACCAAAAAAAATAAAAAAAAATCCTCTTTCCGGAGTCGGTTCCCTCTCCTTGGCCGATCACGCCCACCACCACCTCTGACAACCACAACCTTGATGCCGACCCAGAACACTAGAAAGCCCTCTTGCTCTTTCCATCTCATCCTCCACAATCCGACCCGAAAACAGCAGTCATGGGCTACCTTGCTCCTCATTCTCCGCCGAGGAACATTGGCCGAGCAAACACGCATCCGACTTTCCTCACGGTCCCCGCCACATGCCCCCCCCTTTCAAATCCGCAGCCACGATGTTTTTTTTTTGTTTCCTGGTGACTGCCCTATTGACCTATTTCATAGGGTATTTTCATCACCTTCCTTAGCCTCATCGTTAGGCTTGCTGACTCCATATTGAAAGCCGCCGGGCTGACTATGTCCAATTTCAGTCACCACATTCACTGGGGCTACTTGGAAAGCCACCCTTGGTGAAAAAACGAGAGTATTACAAGAATTGTTCTTCTGCGAAGTCGAGTGCTTCCTCTACTACCATCGGGATGCAGTTGGCATTGGCATCAGCAAAGCCATTCATGCTACGGGTGCCAGCAGGACTGTGATAAAGGCGAATATGACGATGGAGAGGCTCGAGGAGTTGGTGGTTGAGGACATGGATTGAGAGCGTGGGTCATAGGGATAGTGGTCGTTGGGTTGGGCCTGAGGATGCATGGCATGTACGTGCTTGGGTCATAGAAGAGGGACTACGGCCGCATCGAAGCATGCTATGATATATGATTTTGTGATAGGTGACTTTTTATTTCTATGTTATGTTAAATAAATGCGCGGTAGTAATTAAATGTAGTGCATTTTGATGAAAAATGGATTGAATGTTATGTGGAATTGATATTTATGGATGGCGGGTATATTCATTAAATAGAACAAGTGTTTGATGGGTGTCAATGGATTACGGATTGAAATATGATCTAAATTGCTACTATTTTGCTCGCGATGAAGCTTAATTAATTTTTTTGTTTGCAATAAAAACAACTCGGTATTATTTCACATCAATCTTATGTTCTAAATTAAGCACCCATAGTCTCAAACACTTTTTTCATATTAAGTGGTATACATGAAACAAAATATTGACAATTTTTTAGCGATAAAAGAAATTTTCAAGTACTAGATATATGAAGAATGGGGCAAGGTTGTGGGCTATCCCATCCCACGCAGGACGAAGTTTTATAAAAGAGATGGGCCAGGGCAGGTTCTTGCGGAGCGGAGCAAAATTGCCTTTTACACTAGGGATTGATCGGGTTACGTGGTCATAATGGACTTGTCGATTTCGATTGGTACGTAAAAAAGAGTAATTTGTGCCGTCACATATGGAAGTTAGAATATTGACAAAACATAGAAATGTTTGGAAGAGAACAAGGCTTGAGCGGATCTATCTCTATATGTTAAATTTATGTGTACAACTGGGTTACGCGAGATCGAATGATGAAAGTTTTGTGAAAATCGTAGTTGCTAAGCGTACAAAGATTGGTTTATAAAGTTTAGTATATATACAAAGTGACAGTGGTTATTATTGGATGTTGAAAATGGTCTACTAAGATATCACGTTATGTATTACAATTTCATGGATTAATTTTAATAAACCTAACATTTGCGCCGGACCGAACCAGCCTAAATGTCTGGTATGACGACGAACAAGTGGGAAAGAGAAGTGACTCAACCTACTGAAGGCTTTCTATCAATTATCCAAAAGAGAAAATCGCTTTGGACATGTGATGTTCGAACAATAGGATGCCCATGCATCTCTAATCCATTTTTAGCGTGTCCGTAACCCAAATTCTTGTCTGTGGAGGCACACATGATGGTGAGCTGGATCTTTCTTATCTTATATTTATTTATTGTTTTTGCCCTTTCTTACCAAGGTAGGCCTCGACCTTAATTGCCCAGAAAACCCACATAAAAAGTTCCCGAGGCCCAGCCCCTTGATTGTACGCACGATTATTGTTTGTAATCGAGACAATGAGTATGACTTGCACTACGGTTTTCTGGTCTAATTTCTGTAGCCATACGTACAAAATGTTATATCAATGTGGTAATTAGGATCCTGTAAACTTAAGGTTTTCACATATATTTGCAATGAAAAACTAAAAACACGGACCAGATGTTGGAGCAGCGGCTTTTGTTTGACTTTCACAAGTCGACTCGTATTAAGAGAGAAGTAGAGAGACAAAAAAGCCTCTCAAATAAGAAAAAGACGAAGATAAATTAATTCCTAATATAGCTTTGTGCATACGAGTTGCGAGTGAACTTAGGGACATATTTAGAAAGCTCAAGACACGTTCTCCAGCTTATTGGCATAAATGAATAAGATGGGCGCTAGATATCAAATGCTTCTCAATGTGATGCCAGTAGGTTGTGGACAAATTTAGAAAGCTCAAGATGCCTTCTCCAGCTTATTGG